AGTTAATTACAAGAACTTGTGCCAGGAAATCTTTACCAAAAACTAATCAGGTCGATTCCCAACTAATATATGAAATTTGAATTTTTAAAATCGATTTAGAATTGCAAGCTATAAAGTAAACGATTTTTTTTACTTTTCTGCTATATACGAAGAAACGGCTTGGCCGACCGTCGCACAAAACTGGGAATCGAATCGAGTTTTGAAATCTATCCAGTCGTTTTTGAGAAAACGTCGATCTACGGCAAAAAATCTGTTTACACACACACACACACATACTTTTTCCAAATTTGGTCTCAGAATGGCTTGAAACGTCGAGAAAACATAAAATTAGCAAATCGGATTTTTTTATGAAAACATAAACACTTCCTTCATGAAGTTAATAAATGAGAAATAAAAATGTTGTGTCATTTAAAAATTAAAATTAAAAATAGAAAAGTATTAATTTTTGGAGTGAGTATAAGAACTTACTAGAGATTTCATGGCTAAGGTTTTTTCTCGTCTGGATCTCACCACAAAAATTTGTTTCCACACAAACAATCAGATGCACTTAAAAATAGATACTGTATAAATTAATGATTCAGCCTGTCTTATATTTATACCAGAAAAGTCTCCGGGTACATTTCGTCTAAGATGTACAATTCGCCCTACCATTATTTATTATTATATGTTTTGCATTGGGAAGAATCGTTCAGTGGGAGCGACGAGATGAATCTACGTATTAAATAATTATCTACGAGCCAAAAAAAATGATTGTGTCATAATGAAGGTATTCACAAAATGATAATGTACCATTCGATGTAATTTCATTATATTGGGTTGATTATCGTAACATATCACATTTATTGACCAACTAATTGCTCAATTTCATTAAATGCCATGTGTGTACATTAATTTTTATGTACTATAGTTGTGTACATACTGTCATTTTATAACATATATTACATATGTATAAGTATATATATATATATATATATATATATATATATATATATCTATACTAGCTGACCCGGCAAACGCTGTTTTGCCATCAAAAATATTTTGCCGCTTTGCAGAAGTTCTTATAATATACATACATTATTAATAATGTTATATTTTTATTACACAAATTTCTTTACATTTCGATAATTAATTCCAACGCATCATAGTGTTGTGTTTATTTTAATTTTATTTATGTCAAATAGTGAAATATTTTTTTTAATCAATGAATAAATTAGATTTTAGTCTGAATCAACGCAGTACAATTATCTGAATATATAATACTTTATATAAATATCAGATTTTTTACTTTTGCATTTAATTTAAAAATATTGAATGTCAATTTCATATATCCAATATGCACTAAATTTTTAAATGCCAAAATATTTCCTTTTTGGTCGAAATTTAATATAATATGATATAATTTATATCTATAATTTGATTGCCAATATTGCCTATAACATAACTTGGAATAATTAATTTATTTGTATCTTATTGAAGTCGTTAAATATTCATTTTTTTTTGAACTGTCAGAATTTTGTTTATGATTAATGTTAAATTCAATATATCGCTTTTTTATTGTGATCTATAATGTTTTAATCACTTATCATATAAATTTTCGACTATATATTGATATTCATACTATCCCTGAAACTAACATGGATAAAGTTCTGAGAAATCCGAGCCCAAATCTATAAAATGTTTGATTTTTGGCACTTTTATTAATTTTTGATCAATTTTCGTACTGTAAAATAATGGATGATTATTTCCCAACGTGGGGCGCACGCATGAATTCAGGGGGGCAATTTGAAAATTTTGGTAATTTGAATGTAATGTAGAATAGTATCGGTAAAGCATTTACATAAAAAAATGCTTGGAATTACCTAAGATGTCCCGGTTTGGCCGGGACGGTACTTTCCTGGCGCCGGAGTTATGTTTTTTATCCCGGATTGACCTTACTTTTTAAAAAGATTAGCTTGAATTTGAATTTTCCTCATTACTTTCTAATAAAATTACAACTATCCATCATAATCTGAAAACGATATATGCGATAAATTGCTTATATAAAACTAAACATTATGAAAGAGAATTTTGAAGAGAAGTTGCAAAATGCAATAATTCTCAAGGTTCAAATGGCACTTCACTGATTATTTTAAACTTCAATATTCGAATTTACGAAAATTACCAAAAAATTAGTTAAATCAAGTTTCTGACTGCTTGGCACAGGTGCTTTAAGGTCAGTGACAAGATATGACTTGAAACATACACAAGAAAACTGATATTTACTACTAAAGTTAATTGCGAAGTTTAACCCGAACAGAGTTTGATACAAGGCTTTAAAAGCGAAAAAATCGTAAATTTTTCTCACTGTTTTTTCTGAATCAATACAGACGGTGGTAAATATTACTATTACTACATTTAAGTAAATTTCGTCTAGTTAGTTTTTTGTAGTCCATATGGCGAATATGACTTCTCCCGGATATAACTCCAACCGGCTGTGACTCCGGTCGGATATGACATTGCCCCGATATAACTCCGGCCCGATATGTGTCCGCCCGGATATAACTCCCCGATATAATTTCTTTTAATTACCTTGCACGGTCGATTTTCTTAATTAATAAAGATTTTAAATTTCGTGTATTTTTAGTTACGAGAAAAAATTGTTTTTTTTAAATGTTTGGTAAAAAATAAATCACGTGATGTCTTACTTTACCCCTCCTCCTCCACGTGATTATTTGTCAAACCGCCCTCCCCCTAAAATCATCAATAAATTTCATCAAGTTAGTTTTTTGTAGTCCATGACTCCGCTCGGATATAACTCCAGCCGGATATGATTCCGCCCGGATATGACTCCGTACGAATATGTCTCCGCCCGAATATGTCTCAGCCCATCCGCATATGACTACGGTCGGCTATGACTCCGCTCGGATATGACTCCGGTCGGATATGACTCCGGTCGGATATAACTCATCCGGATATGACTCTGCCCGGATATAACTCCATCCGGATATGACTCCGCTCGGATACGACTCCGGTCGGATATGACTCCGGTTGGATATAATTCCGGTCGGATATGACTCCGGTCGGATATGACACCGGTCGTATACGACTCCGGTCGGATATGACTCCGGTCGGATATGACTCCGGTCGGATATGACTCCGGTCGGATATGACTCCAGCCGGATATGACTTCAGCCGGATATGACTCGGTCGGATATGACTCCGGTCGGATATGACTCCGGTCGGATATGACTCCGCTCGGATATGACTCCGCTCGGATATGACTCCGCTCGGATATGACTTCAGCCGGATATGACTCCGGTCGGATATGACTCCAGCACGGATATGACTCCGATCGGATATGACTCCGGTCGGATATGACTCCAGCCGGATATGACTTCAGCTCGGATATGACTCAGCCGGATATGACTCCGCTCGGATATGACTCCGCTCGGATATGATTTGATTCAAATGAAAAAAAAAAATTGTATGCGTCTTGTATTTGCATGATAGCTACTCATTTTACATGCAGAAATACTTATTTTAAAGCTTATTTTGAGACTATAAACCCCATTTCAGAAACTAGCTTAATATTGTTCCTAGAACACTATAAAACAGTGATTTATTAAATAATATACTGACGGCTTGTAAAATAAATGAATAAATAAATATATACTTTCAGGTTTCATGGTACTTCGAATTAGTTGACAATCAGTTTATGGATAAGATGCATTGACCAAAATAATGTATGGATTAGATCCACTACTTTGACTAGGCAATAAAGTGAACTTAGTTCTGAATACAATAGTGAGCTGTATAATTTACAGTAAGTTAAAATTTTACACATTTTAAATTAAAATCAACAGATTTTTTATTAGCCATAATTTTTTTTATGTGTACCATCATGATTTTGCACGTTAGAATTATTATGTTTTATTATAATATTTTATGTTCATCACATCTTCATTAAGATGAGTTTGTAATTTTATGTTGTAAGCGTGATACAAATCCAGCATTATATAAAACTATTCATATTCGACCCTTATTGGTTAAGGTTAAGCAGGAGAGTCAGTCATGATTGAACCACCAACAAATACAGACCAAAATATCAATATTCAATTATGTAAGTAATAAATTAAAATAAAACCCAGGTATTCTTAAAAGGGGTTTGTTTTTACACATCAAGAAGAGACCAATAATTAATACCTTTCAGTATGTAATATGTAATACAAAATAATGGCTCCGTTGAAAGATTTTGCATTGTATTTTTACATTGATGTTTAAATAGTCTACATTGTTTGCAAAAAACATATCTTCATACAAAAGACAGAAGAGTTAAGCAAATTTAAATTAATCCATTTTATTAAGATTAAAGTAATTTAAAGTAATCAACAAACTGTTGTAAAACCAGTTACAATTTTATACTTTATGTGATAGATATTTTTGAATCTATTCTTATTAAAGATTTATATAAACATAATTATTTAACTTAATAGATTAGCAAAAATGACATATTTATATACACACAAAACACACACATGTATATAAGTAAAATGTGCATTGATTGTAAGTAATATATAATTGTTCTTGATTTTATGATTCATCTCGGATAATATCATCTCATTTATTTAAAACTCTATCTACAAAAGGTTTCAAAAATTTAATATTATTTACAAAGAACTAAGCAACGATCATTTTCTTAACAGTATATCCAGGAACAGCATAGAAAAATAGTAAAATAACTGTGCCAGTGCCAAGACACAAGAACTTTAACTATTTTCCATTTATATTGTGCCAAACTATATATCGTATAGATTTTAAAGGATTCAGTAGCCAAACAAAAGATGCATCTGGTCGGTCTGAAAAAAACATTTGAAATTTAAATATGCTCGAGAACTTTTCTCACTGTTTTATTACTCTTACTTTGGTTTGTCAAGTGGATCTGGTTCATTTCGCCCATGTCCAGCAGGGTTCTTTTCAGCTTCTTCTTTTGTAAGCAAATGAATTCAGCCTCGCTTTTCCAGTCAATTCCATTTGCTCGTTCTCCTTTTTAACATAGAAGGGCCACCAACCTTGATTCGTCTTTGTTTAAAAATATTTACTAAAGGTACAGAATTATCTCCATTGTCCAACATGTCTAAACTGCATAATTTTGATGATTTGGCCCCACGAGGAGGAAATCTATTCAAATCTAATGTTATAGCCCCTGGAATGAAGAGATAAATACTTTGGTTTGGAACAAAACAAGATAGGTATACTGGTCTTACCTAAAAAATCATCTGCAGAGAAGTGGTCAGCATCCCATACTTGTAATCTAGTCTGCTGGAATCTTCACTTCTGTTTCGTCTCCATGAAAACACAGATTCTTTCCGAGTTATTACAATTCGCTCTTCAGCAACAAGATAATCGAATGGATAAATAATCTCCAGTTGAAGTTGCCTTCACCAGTTAAAGAACGATAGTGAATATCTGTACATTGGCAATCTTCTGGTCCTTTAAGCCACCTGGGAAAAAAATAATTTTGCATAGTTTCAAAAATACCAAAACTGCTTCAACATTTTAGATTATTGGTAATTTTCAATTACCTTTAACATATATATCTGACATTTTTTCTCCAGTAAAGAAAGCATCATCTTCTAAAACAACATCATCAGTATTCCATATGATGACTCGAAGTTCAAACGAACGAGGTTTTCTAGGTGAAATATCCACAGAGGTCCTGGCAAGGGCATATCCATTGGAAACATTTCAACCCACATTTTATCTTGCCTTGTTCTATACCAGGTTTGTCTGGATTGTACAAAGCTCTGGTTTCTATATGTTCTGGAACCATCTATTTGGAATAATAAATATAACAAAGGCACTTACTTTATAGCGAATTTCGTCACTACCTGACAACCTATTCTAGGAAATTCTTGCCATCTGTGAAGAACTGCCAATGCCAAATATTCCTCAAATGATTTTCCGTGATGTTGAACAGTATTATGTCTTCAGCGGATAGAGTAAATGTGTGTTTTCCAATACGTACACTGTTAGGGCCGTAAACAGGAAGTTCCATTTGCCTTCTTTGCAGAGACGAGCCAAAATCTGTGTTGGTTTCATCGGATCTCGCCATCTATTATAACCAGTACTGGAAAACAAAATTTATCAACCAGCTTAATCAAATATATTATTAGGTTTATTATTGACCAATATCTACTAGTTCATTTACGATTTGGTTATTAAGACTTTACTCACTCTTCATATTTCTGGGTATACCGCAAGTAGCATGATGTCTACTGTAAAATCTATTTCTAGATCAATTCTTGTTTCTCCAATCATTTCATCCGATCCCACCAAATCCCAGTCTAAGATCTGAACCGTCAACATGGAGTCTTGAGGAAAGTTGCTTCAATTCGAAACATCTTCACAAAAAAAAATTTTAGAAAAATGTCATTTTTATATAATTATTTACTTATTTAACATAAGTTGGATTGCTTACTTTCCAAATACTGGATTCAATTGTTTTGATATGTAATTATCCTTATCGCTTAATCTTTTTGAACCTAATTGAAGAACTATATATGGATCAGCTTTTCCATTCATATCCATAGGATGCAAATCATTAGCTTTGACTATATACACACGGACAAGCACATGGATAGGGTCATTGAAGGTAATCCTTGAAAAAATCCAAACTGTGGGTCACACCCCATTACTGTATGATCGACTACGTCTCGAGGTAAAGGCCATTTGTAAGCTTTTAGAGCACCCTGAAAAAATATTAAAAGTTTTTAATTCAGAATTAAAAGGTGGCTTCAGAATCTTATTAATGACTAATTAGGAGAATCTTAGTGAATAAGTTTACTTTAAATGTGCCAAAACTCTGTTCTCATCTTCTGAATCATCACCAGTTTTCTTGCCACGGTAAGATCAAATGTCAAGAGCCATTCTTTAAATCATTGTACTCGGGCTGATTTTCTAATTCATTCGGATAGATCTAAAAATATA